AATGTTTTAAACAAACAAAAAAAAGAAATCCTCAAATTCTAACATACAACCAGAGAACCACTTTCTCTTAAGATAAAGCTACAACACCATTTCATGGTATACCAGCCCTTCTACCATCTGGCCCCCACCTTCTTTTCCATACTTTTCTCCCACCCCTCTCCAATTACACCTCAAAGCTCTCAACACACCTTTTACAAATAACAACAGCTAACATTTACTGAGAATGTACTCATGCTAGGTACAAAAGACTCATGCTAGGTAACGCCATCACTGTTACCCAAGACACTGTCATCTCTAAAATGGACTACTTCAAAAGAATCCTAACTAGTCTCCCTGTATCCGGTCTTCCCTCTATACAATCTCGTCTTTGCACACCAATCCAAGAATCTTTCAAAACTGAAATTAGAACATCTCTCCCAAGCAAATTTTTCCAATGACTTCCCATTACATACATGCAGTAAAATCTACACATGTAGTAAAACACTCTTAAGACCATTAAAGTAGGCAGTTAGTAAGATAAGAGCAGTAAAAAGGAGAGGAGAGGTGGAAGCTAGTAACCTTTCTAGGTGTGTTTACACCCACTCTTTGCCTGAAACAAGAGGGCATGGCCAGGAAATCCCCAAGGCTGATGCCTGCACAAAGGACACTGAGATATGTCCAAGAATGACCTTGGCACATTCACATGATCCTTAAACTAACATTAAATCCCCAAGGCTGATGCCTGCACCACCAAGGTATGTCAGAAAACAATGTTGGCCCATTCACATGATCATTAGAATTTCCCACCCTCCCACTAACCTCATTTTTGTGTGTGTGTGCATTAAGGAGTAAGAGCATGTGCAGATCCAGAGCAGTTATATAATCTGAACCTGTTAACCCACCCCTCACTTTCCCATAAAATCAATAAGTATTCAGATAAACAGGGCTGGTCCTGACCTCTCAGGCCACACACACCCCTAGAGAGTGTACTTTCTCCTTGCTAAGTAGAATTGTCTTCCAGCCTTCTTATTTTGCTTCATATTCCTTGTCCGGTGTGCCTGACGAGGGGTGAGAAAGACCCCTCCCAGTAACAAGACCCTACATAACCTAGCCCTCAGCCACTTCACTAGCCTCAGTTCCTCCCTCTCCCCACCACTCGCTGTACGCTCATCCCACTGACTTACAGCAGTAACAGGCCAAGCTCACGCACAGTCTATGCATTTGGGTGTTCTCTGCCTAGCATTCCCTCGTTCTGACAATCACATTGTCTCCACTCAAATGTCACCTCTACCATACTTCTTCATAGCACTAATCACTACCTAACATATATTTGTTCACTGTCTGGCCCTCTCACTAGATGGTAAACTCCATCAAGGAATGGAGTTTGCCTATCTTGTTGTCCCCTATGTCCTCAGGTTCCAGAACAATGACTGGTATATAGTAAGTATTCAATAAATATTCATTGTTATTGAATCTTCACAACACTCTATTTAACACATTAAGAAGCTATAGCTCAAAGAGGTCACAAAACCTGCCCTAGGTCACAGCTAACAAGCAGCAGAGATAGGGTTTGAACCCAAGTCTGGTTGACTCCAAAGCCTTAGATTAAAACCACAATGGTATATACTCTGCTCCACTAGTACATTTATGACATGTTGTCAACCTAGCTGCTACCAGAATTTTAGTTCTACAAAAGCAGCAGCTTGCTTTACTATCTTTGAATCCTAAGCACTAAGCAGATACTCAAGTTATCTGCTTATACGTCAGACACTCAAATTTTTGTGGATGGCTCAATCAACTACTGGATAAAAATGATCAGTATATTCTTTCCTTATTTAACTGTGGTCTGAATAATAAAGGTGACCAGATAAATGACCTCCAGAAACAGGATTACTGTTTATCACTACTTAGCAGGCTAATGCACACAATGAAAACATCTGACGAATTTTTTAGGCTAACTATAATTAAAGCAGTATCTCCCTTCACATGCTGACAAGCAATACTGGAGAAAGTAACAAGAGTCTATAAATTGAATCCACTTCAAATTCATGGTAATTACCATACCTATTTCACTATTGCCAAAGGAACATTAGCTAATGTCTAATAAAAAAATCACAGCTATGACAATATAAGTATATGCCTCACAAAGATTTCCTGTTCTATAAATTAATCATGACCTCCAACCCCTGACTCACCCTACCTGTTCTGTTATCTCCGTTCTAAAGCCTTTGTTGAACCTTAAGTCTAAGTAACCTCCAGTTTTCATACGCCATGCCTCCACACTACAAGGTGCCAAGCAACAGTAAATCATATAATTCTTTAAACTGAGTCATGGTAATTATCAAACGTGTATCATTGTTCCCAGTTAAGAAACATGTATGCATGTTCCTTATACATTAAGCTGAGAGCTCATTCAACTGATAGTTCATCTTTTCTATTCTCCTTAAGCCTCAATCCTACATAGTTCCTTTACTTTAGGGACTATGCTCAGCTTTTTCCCCTCACCTCATAATGCTTTATTTAGCTTTTATTTTACTTATGACTCCTATAAAGGCTAATTTCCTACCAGTGTCTTGACCTTTCTGAACTGTAATAGCTCAGTAATTTCCTTATTTGCATCCTCTCTCTCCCCCGACTTTCACCCCCAAGGCTTCTTGCCCTCTACATACCTTTTCTCAACTTTCATCCTTTCTTTTCCTAAATAGTTCAAACATACTTAAATTTGCTGGTAGCAATAAAACACTCAAGTACCTATGTCCAGCAACAACAAATATTAACATAAAGCCATTTGTGCTTTGCATCTTTTTAAAGATACAAAATGTAAAAGAATCCTTAATTTTTGTCACTCTCTAGAACAGCAACCCTCTCCACCCTTCCTTTGCCCCCAAAACTTCACTGCCTTTACTGCTTACACTATCTGACAGTACCTACTCTTCTGTGTTTCAATATCCTCATCTGTAAATGACGGTGATAATTTTACCTACTTCATGGGTTATAACTGAAATATATATGTAAGGCACTTACTAAAGTGCCTGGGTCATAGAAAGCAATCAATAAACGTTAGCCAGTATTATCAAAGTCAGAAACAACCAATAACCAATCTAATGGCCTTTTCTGAGAGGTCTTCCCTCAAATAGGTCAAACAGTGAAACTTGCTAGGAATAATAAAATAAACCTCGCAAACTACCCACATGGAAAGTTAACAAATGTTACATCTAACCATTTGTGCATTAGATCTTTTTTAAGATCCAAAAAGTAAAAATTGCTCTTTTATACCCTATCCCATTCCTTTCCTCCCCAGAGGATTCTCAGGCTGAAGGAGCACCTTCCCATTTGTGCCTTTAAGCTGTTATGCTAATGTGTATCCTTAAATAATAGCATTTACAAATGATAAATACTACTGTCTTTGGTGTTTTAAAAATAGTACTACTATACTTTACATATCCTTCTTCAGGTTGTCTCTTTTCACTCAACATTAAGTTCCCAGAAATTACCCATGTCCCCACATGAAGAACAAGATCCAGTGTACTCCTTTCAGAAGCTACATAGGTCATTCACTGTATCACATACAACTTACTGTCCCACTTCCTTACTGGCAGACTTTTAGGCTGTTTCTAAAATTTGCTACAATGAATCTTTCAAGTATATGGCCAGGAGTGGAAGTGCTTGGTCATAGGATACAGGCACATCCCATTTAGATACAGCCAGGTTGCTCTTCAAAGTGACTTATGAGTTATAAATTCACAAGCAATACCTGTCAAGTTCCCATTTCTCCACTACTTTTGTAACTTTTCTGCAGGTGAAGGCATGTTCTGATATACTGACAGTCAAAGTTGGTGATTCTGGTCACAAGCTGCTTTCTAGCCTGCCATACTCATCTTACCAATGATGTAGATTAAAAGGACCACCTATACCATTCCACCAAACTTGACCTCCCTATTCTTATCTTTACCCAAGTTATTCTACTGGAAAGGTCCTCCATTCTCACTTGCAACGCACAAATATAATCAACAGCCATTCCTTACATAACCCAAGTCTCCCCAACTTGTGGGAACTAGCTCTCCCCTGAATATTAAAGCAATCTGCTTGTTCTCTCCTATAGAGCCTACTATAATCAGCCTGGTATACAGGGTGCACTATACAAAGTAGACCGAAAATTTATACTATAGTTTCTGAAGTGTCATCATTTGGGTGCCTGCCTATCTCTAGCTAATTCCACCCACAGTACAAGCAAAGTAAGTACTGACTCCATTTGTTAAGCAAGTACTACAGTGCTAAATATTTGGTTATATGAAAAAATAAAAAAAAAAAGACTGACTCCATCATTCTCTTCTACCTGCACTCCTATATGATGACTATATGGCACCCATTTGATCAGGCACATAAAAAACTGCTATTTCCTGGGTTTTGCCAAGTATTTTTTTAAATTGTTAATTATTTTCTCAATCTACTTCTAAGTTCTTATTTTCAAGTTTCCTGTGAAAAATTAAGATGTATAAGCATAATACTATAAACTAAATACTGAGAAGTACATCCCCTTTAATGGAGCATGTGTCTCTGGGCAACTACTTCATACCAGGGAAGTAAGAAAATCATGAGAGAAGAACATGATACTTACTTGGTTACACCAGACCTACTAAAAGTTGCAACATCCAGAGCGACCATACGCCATAAATAGGCATTTAGTCCAAAATGAAGACAACCACAAGTGAAGACACATGAATCAGGACACCACTAACAATGCCTCTGTCCTTCCTCAGGAAAGGTAGCCACTTCACCTTAGGATAATGAGCTTGATGAACACAATGCACCTAACTAATTTCTTTCCTTAGGAAATGTGATTTTTTGAAGCTAAGGTACTTTTTCACCAGTACAGATAATAAAAAAAAACACTTTCCTTCCCTCCAATCAACTTCAAATGTTACTATTTTTAAAATAGGCCCCCAAATATGGGCAGAAAGGTAATTTGATAGGAAAGGGAGAAAGGGAGGGCAGACAAAAATCAAACGAAGTTACATTACTGTGCACTTCTTCATCTAGTGCCTTAACCTTCCCTTTCTTCTTAATGAGCTGGATTTTGCAGGCGTTGGCTTCCCAATCTTTGTCGTTGCCTCCATCAACTCCCACACCTAAATCATCAAGGGGTAGAAAAGAAAGACTTAGAAACAATCAGATTATCAGTGTGAGGCAAAGTTTTTAATCAGAAAACATTCTTCCACTTAATTAGTTCACTTATTCATCAATCAACATTTACTGAAATCTATTATATGTCAAGAACTATGGCAGCTGCTAGAGACAAAAATGAAAATAACTCAGTTCATATCCTCAAATTTCTACTATCTCTTGAGAAGACAGAAAGGGAAAAAATAATTACAATACAGTGTGGCCTTAGGTTATAGTAACAGTACCACAAGTTGGGTTGCAACTGCAACACAGTGGAAAAATTCACAAGATGGGTATCCACCTCAGAGAGGAAATAAAGAAGGAATGTCAGGGAACACATTTCTTAAGTTCCTAAGGAATTTTAAAAAGTTACCCTGAAGGTATTAGAAAAGCACTGAATAGTGTCAAGTAGAGAATTCACATGGCAAGAGCATTTAGAAAATTTTCTGGAAACAGAGTAGAGAATAGGTTGAAGGGAAGAAATGTAAGAAACCAGCTGTCAGGAAATACAGCTACAGCAAAGCAAAATGAGGCAAGGCCTGAACCAAAGGGTGCTAATGAAGACAGAAATCAGTGATGTGGAGATCAGCACTGACTGAACATAATGAGGGAAAGTAGGAACAGTCTGGGCTGAATGATTGTATATGAAGCAACACAGAAAGAATAAAGTGGGGAGTAAGGTGAGAACTGGAATATATTCAATGCAATTCTGAATGTGCAAAGTTTACAGTATCATGGATTAGCCAGGGGGAAACTTCTAGGAGGCAGGTGGAAATACAGGTCTGCAGCTTGGGAAATACATCTGGATTGTAAGTCACCAGCACATAGGAGGTTGATGAAGTCAGAGCTCACACATGAAGATACAAATTAAGAAAAGTGAGCCCCAGAAAAAAATCTTGAACATTAATATTTGAACAACAGGTGGAAGAACAGGAGCTCCCAAAACAAACAGAAAAGAATCAGCAAGTTAGGAAGAGAACTGTGATGTCAGAGAAGCTAAGGAAGGAGAGAATTTGAAGAGCAAAGATCTTGAGTAATCAACTTTCTATTAACTGAGGAAAGTCATGGAAGATAAACGCCCATAACATCTGGCCATGTTAAAAGTACAGAAAAAAGTTAACACAGCAGGCCTAACATAGCTATCCTTAGAAAGGGCTCCCTGCAAAGTCAGCCCTTGGCTGACATCTGGGAACCTGGGTTTTAGAAGGGTTACCACCACCCTAACTGATTAAGAATGACCCACTGCACCTCAACTGCTTGTGCAAACAAAGTGCACATGCTGAGTATCTGCTTTCCTTCCAGGAGTCTGAAATTTTGGTCTCTGTTAATCAGAGGGTGCCTACATGACCAGTCCCCAGTAAAATACCTTTGGCACTGAGTGGTTAATGAGCTTCCCTGATATACAATATTTCACACATGTTGTCACAACTGGCTGGAGGAACTGAGTGCACATTATGTGACTTCAGTGGGAGAGAACTCTTAGAAGCTTATGCTAGGTTTCCTCCAGATTTTGCCCCAAGTGCTTTTCCCCTTTGCTGTATTTTTTTATTATAATAAATCACAGGCATGAAAATATATGCTGAGTCCTCCTAGGGAATCACCAAAACTAGGGGTAGTCTTGGGGACCCCTGACACAGTTAAGGTAAGGAACTAGAGTAGAACATAAAGTTGACAAGAAATTATTTTTATCTGCTTTGTCATTTACTTAAGACAGAAAAATCTCAGGCAAGTTTATGTGACAAAAGCAAGGAATCCATGGAAAAAAAAGATATTAAAGTTACAGGAAAGAAAAAAGATAATTTATAAAGCAAAGCCTTCAAGAACTTTGCTCTACCATGAAAATGTCCCCATGTGATTAAATTTTTATAGTAACATTCTTAACAAAAAAACATACACACAAGAAATAATACTAGGCATAAATGAAAATACTGTTGAAATTACATAAACAAACCTTTCAAACATAAACCAAAAATTCTTCAGATTTTAGATTTACCCAAAACAAAAAAACACACATTACTAAATAATTAACTAAAAATTTTTTTAAATGAAAAAAAAATCAAATAGATTCAAGAAGCATGCAAAATCTGTAGTTTTTTAAAAAGAAATACCAGCAGAATCATATCCTCTGTACTCTAGTCGCTGAAGGCCTTTAATCAGAGTCTCCAAGATTTCTCGTCTTGTGCGAGGAACATGGTAGTTTAAGTAAGCAAATATACCTGCAATAAAGAAAAGAAAATTCTGGTTAAATTGACATAATTATGACAAAATCTCATTTGCATAATTATGTCTAAGATATGTAAAAATGTGAACCTAGAGTCCATCTTTAAAAAAGAGAGAAATCCTCACTTAAAATTATTTAAAGGCAGTGAAACTTTTATAAAGGGGAATTTCTCATAAGTGTCAAAGACTAAAACAAATATGTCAAATGCTTAGTTTCAATGAAGCTTATAACGCTGATCACTTATCTTTCATCACTGCCATTTTGTCAAGGAAAATTTAATTTAAAAAATCAATCAACAATTTTGTGGTTTATGACCTATATACTGCACATTATGTTTAAAGGAAAACATTTTCATAAGTATTTAGGCAACATACAGGTTCTATAAAACTATACAGATGGAATGAATCACTTTTCTTACTTACAATGATCATGCTATCCATAACAGGAATAAATAACTTACAAATATCAATGATGTGAAAAATACAACCTATTTAAGAAAGGCAAAAATGGACTAAAAATATATATAATCATCTTAAGAGAAAATGGCTTGAATCACTTGTTTAGCAGACACTAGCAGAAAACAAAAAACTAAAATGTTAACAACTATTGAGAATTTATTAAAAAGGAGCACACATTTGAAAAAGCAAAACTAGAATAAAAAGGATGAGTACAATGTGAACCAAAACAGCAAAGAGGTAGTAGAACACAGGTAAAGGAAATCCACATTTAGGAACAGCAGCATGGAAATTATCTGATGCCTTCCATGACTGCCCTTAGCCAAAGAGCATGCAGCTTAAATGTATAAAAACTGAAGACCAAAATACAGAGATATAAGTTCAAGTTGCTTATTTATGAAAGAACTTTCCTTTTTCTTAATATTACACTATAATGTCACTGATTCAAAAGGAGATTAGATTAATTCTGTGGAATGGAACTCCAGAATGACTAGTCTTCATTTCCATTTGAAAAGATATCTGTATTACTATTGAGTTTGGTCCTCTTTAGGCATATCAACCACATTGTTAATATCTAATGACAAAGCCATCAAAATATGTATGATCACCATTAGTACAATGCAATTTTTTCAAGTAAACTATCATGCTCTTCAAAAACCAGAAAAGAAATCCAAAACTGGAACCCAAAATCACCAGAAACAACTGTCTGAACTTTCCCAAAAAGGGTAGAACAAGGCCAAAGACATAGAGAAATTGTACATTTCACTTACATTCAAGAAAAAAAAACCTACACCTGCAAATATTTTTAAGTTATCATGTATATATAAGCATCCCATTTTGACAGCACCACAGCCCTGCACAAGGTCTGGGGTTCTTGTTGTTTCTGCTGTTCCTTTATAAAGTATCTGTAATATGAACAAAGTAAACCAATAACCTGGGTGTAAATCAAAGCTTTATGTGTTTGACACTCTTTCCTACCATGGATCACTGACATCTAATAAAGATTAAACACATACAGAAAACTATCAATCCCAATTATTTCAATTAGATCATTAAAAGACAGTATGTACATAGATTATAAATCTTTTCCCAAAATACTATAAATGTGCCAAAGAACACTGATTCTCAACTAGTCTACTCTCCACCACTGTCACAGGCAACAGCTAAATAAACTGCTAGAGGACACAATCTAGCTTACTTAAAGTCATTAACATGTTACACTGTTAAGAACTGCTTGCAGTCTGAGGTGCTCTAGTTAGTCTTGAAGAGGAAGTCCAGGGCTGCCAAACCCCAATAATGCAGCTCATCCAGAAAAACTCATACTAAAATATCTTTCTTCTTTTAAGACATAATTCTGATGGTAATCTGATGGTAAAAGAACTATATATAGAAAAATAAAAATTAAACATAATAAATAAATACTAACTAAAAAAAACCTCAAATGTTAACATAAAACCAATTGCTTTTAAAACAAATTAGAGGTTCAAAACATCTTTAAAAAGAAAATTCAGAGTGATGCCACATTAAATCCAATACATGTAACTCAACAATAGCATCCAAGCCTAATACTATTCCTAACTTCAACCTCCTTGGTTTACACTGACTCACTATATGAATCTTGAAATCTTGCATATAATTTCACAGGGAAAGAGGTCTTCTAAATCAATACCCATCTCCAAACAAACTTTTAGAACTGTTAACTATGTGATAAACTAACAAAACTCACATTAACCATTTGTTAGCTCATTTTTAAAAAGTACTCCTGGCACTGGAAAGCCTGTGATTTTTTAACTCTTGTTTGTCCTCAAACCTTTCCACTATACCACCCTGCTTCAGCTTTCCCTTCTGCAAAAGGATGGGTCTGGCTGAGAGACATTAAAGTAGATTTCACAAGAAATGCCAATAAGTTATTTAACTGGTAGTGACTGTAAAGAGATTCAGTAGCCGTTTCCTGAACAGGAAGGAAAGCCATCATTGATTAGTAACAGCTATTACTAGAAGTGGGAAGTGATAGCACAAGGGTCATATATTTCCTACCTCTGACATTTAAAGACATCTACAGTGCCCTTTAGCATGATGTGCTATGATTTCTGAAGATTCTTCTCTGACTGCCTTAGATACATTCCTGATGAATGTAACACTTTTTAATACTTCTACAGACTCTTCTGGGCTTCATTTCTTTGTTCTATTTCCATGATTTTGATTTTGTTCTGTCTACATTGTATCTACCAAATTAAAACTGGAAACCTGGTGAAGAGCCTTATTATTTCCAACAGAATAAAAGCAAATTGCTTTTATTTTATTTTATTGCTTAACAGAATAAAAGCAAAGTAACATAAAATATGAGGCCATTTTTCTCCAAAACTGTATTATCATCACACCTAATCAAATAATGCTCTAAGACCATCTAATACAATGTTCATGTTCAAATTTCCCTATTATTTAAAAAAAAAAGTCTTCTATAAACTGATTTGCTCATTCTTGAATATAATATAGGATCACACCTCACATTTGATTGTTATGCCTCAAAAGTATCTCTGAATCCAGAATGGCCTCCCCAACTGCCCTGTTTTCCTCAGGACACTGACTTTTGACATTCCAGGGCCAATTTTCTTGCTGAGTATGTTATCTTCTGGCTGTGTCTTGTTTCCATATAGTGTAGTCTAACTAGTTCCTCTATTCCTTGTATTTCCTGTAAACTGGACAATAGATCTAAAGGCTTGACTGAGTAGGTTAAAAATGGAAGGCAAGAATTATTTTCAGGTACGTTATCTATTTTAGTTGTCTGCTGGTCCCCTATTAGTGATACTAAGATTCATCACTGGTTTAAGGTAAGGATAATCAGATCACTTAGCCTTTAATTGTCTGAAAGCATCTTCAGACTACTTTCAGGGCTCTAAATACTGACAACACTGATTTTAAGACATTCATATTTTCTTTCCTTGTGGTCTATAATAAGGGTACATTTCCCAATCAGTGGCATCTTAGGTGCAATGAAATAACATATATCATGCTCCAATTCAGAAACTGCTTTTTTCTTGATAGGAAGCACTATGATTATGCATAATAATTATTGTCATTTTTTGGTTCACTGTTGGAACAAAGGAAAAGGAAAAGGAAGAGTACTAAAACTCAAGCAACATTTCTTCTTACATAACTGGGCAGGAGCCAAAAGGAAGAAAAGGATGACACATGTAGAGAAATTTCCTAAGATCAAAGTAACAGAGCTGGGAGAAGTAAAAAAAGGGATCAACCCAAGTCATTCCTGGTTAGGAAAAGGGCAGGTAAAAGAGAACCTGGATCTATAAATTTTATAGACTAGCTCCCTGAAAGACTGTTGACCCGCAGCAGTCCACCAGTTGAGATTAGTGCGTTATCTGTAAATACTGGGGTAGCTGGGAAAATACAATGACAAATAACCAATCAGGCATGCAGGGCATATTCACAAGGGAGGCATTCATAACACAAAACAGTGCTTTATTAGAGCAGAAATCACTAGAACGATCCCTATTTCAGGTCTTCCACTTGTCTTATCAACTCTCCATAAACAGTTCTGCTTAAAGTAATTCTAACAACCTAAAAATCAATTCTCCACTGCTCTTCAGTAATTGCCCCAATACCACACAGTGTTGTAGGAAGCACAGGTGATTTTTCTGCTCCCAAATCAGCATGTCTTCCCAAAACCTAAGTTTTCTTATTAATGGAATCTACTTAGAGTAATAGCTCCCTAACTGAAGTGGATCCTTGCACCTACAAGCATCATTCTCAGAAAATTGCAACTTAAATTCAATGATACAGAAACACTTATGAGCACCTTGCTTAACAAAATATTCAGACAACATGGATCATAGACTTGGCACACCTGGTTGAAAGCAATCCAGTTGTTAAGTAAAAACTATTAAAACTTTATTGAAATGAAAACCAAATACAACTTAGCTGACTAATCAAATCGTTTAAGTTCCTATGCCTGGATGAATTTATGTCCTTTATGAATAAATTTTGCTTTTACATATTTTTTCACTTGACAAGGTATTTTGAGACCTTAAACATTGTAATTCATCAGTGATAAGTGTACAAATTCATTGCCTAAATTTTTTACTTTCTGAATCAAAATCTATCTACAATGCCACTTAACGTTCATTAAATTTTTCTTATAATGCAAGTTTCAATTAACTCATTAACATCATTAGATTCAAATTCCACAAATCCTACAGAATTGTGATAATCTCCTCTATCTACCTTCACACAGAGTAGATAACCACCATTACTCTCATACCAACTGTCCCAGTCCTTCAGCTATAAATTTTCCTACATACATGAACATCTAGATGTACATGGTTTTAGAAGGTGCATTTTCAAACACATAAATGTGATGACACTATATATACTGTTCCGTACTTTTTATTTTACTTAAGATGATGGGGATCTGTTTACGTCACTACACACACATCTACCCTATTCAATGGCTGCATACTACTCCATAATAGATTTATCTTATTTTACCTAACCATTTCCCTATTGAGTGAGGTTTTTCTAACTA